AGAGTTATTAGTATTGACTTAAGGGGAAGTAGGATATATTAAAATAATAATAGATTAGTTATATGTATAACTGAGTTAATTATATTGAAATAATTTGAATTGTATAAATATGATTTTGTTTTGATTAATTGATGGCCTTGCCACCATGTAAAATAAAACCAATAAAAATTTTGTTGAAAAAAAAAAAAAAAAAAAAGAAAAATGATCATAAGTCGCCTTTTCAGTGCTGTTGTAATTTTGAATGGTCACTAAATGAACTGTTGTAAGTTGAGGACTACCTGTAATGTCTGGGGATTATGGGTGATTTGCGCCATCCTGTCTGGAAACATCAGATTGGGTTACCAAAGGATAGAAGATCCGGAATTTAAAATAGTGGTGGGAAAACTATTCATTGGCATTCTCTCCATTTCTTTTTCAATTCAGACACCAAGTACTTGAAGTGGCTCTTTCCACACTACATGAAGAGCAACCTTTACCGCCTCTGCTACACACAGCTGGGTCAAGATGTCTCCATCTGTAACTACTGGAATGGTAAAATTTGGTCTGCTTTGTGACTTCAGCAGTTATTCTTCATTTCATGGGGGGCTTTTGAGGGTTTAAACCGTTTTCACCTACGAATGAATATGCATGTCCCAGGATAATGTTGCAAGATCCAATCTGGGTCGGTCACCAGGACCAGAGGTTTTGTCTTCCAAGCTTTCAGACTTGTGCTGGATCCCATCCTCCGGGAATTTCTCTCTCTCCAGAATGTTTTGACCTATATTGTTGAATTCACATATTATGTGAGGCCATGGTTTGTTTTAAATGTGGTTTGTTGAAGCTCCAGTAGCTCAGCTAATAACACCAACCCATCACCAAAGAAATTGCACTGTGGTTAATGCAATGGATGAACTCATCTTTTGGCCAGGTTCTTGTCTTAAGCCAAGTTGGATGGCCAAATGTAATTGGGTTGGGTGAATACAACTCACTAAGCCATAAGCTGAGGCTTTCAAATTATAGTCACTGAATTCATGCTTATAGACTAAGCTAAAACTAAATAATGTCTTAATGGGATGTTTCATTTGGCCTGTGCTTCAGCATAATTCCTTAAAAGGCCAATATTTATCCACATTTTCTGGTTCCCAGTGTGGGGGCTGTATGAGGCATTGCTTACACAGCCAAAATAGTATTATCTATGCCAAAAATGTTAAATTAGCACTTTTTAATTGCTCATTTCTGGTATTAAAAATTGGTTAAGATCTAGTTTCATATCTTAAATCTAGAGGAAAGAGAGATGTAGGTGGGCTCATACATTGCCCTAAACCTTGAAGTTGATTTAGTGAATTAATTAACATATCCTATTAGATACAGAAACAAAACAAAATGATTCTCAACTTTTCTCTCTCTCCCCCTTCCCATCTTTTGCATTTTCAGACCCACACCACAGAGATCTTTACCTCAACAATAGCAATTTCTTGGCTGTGTTGAATGATGAGAGACTTCACCCCAATGCAAGTGGTAAATGTGTTTTGACATCCTTCAATTCCAGTACAGAAGGGAGAGTGGTAGGGTAGCAAGCACCACATATTCCTGCTTTGTGATTAATTCAAAATACAGGTCGTCCTTGACTTACAACCACAGCTGAGCTCAAAAGTTCCGATATTAAGCAAGATAGTTATTAAGTGAATTTTGCCCCATTTTTTGACCTTTCTTGCCACTGTTGTTCAGTGAATCACTGCAACTGTTATGTTAGCAACACAATTGCAAAGTGACTGTGGCTTCCCCATTGACTTGGCTTGTCAGAAAGTCGTAAAAGGTGATCACATGACCCCAGGACACTGCAACCGTCATAAATATGAGCCGGTTGCCAAGCGTCTGAATTTTGATCACATGACCATGGAGATGCTGCAACGGTCATAAGTGTGAAAAACAGTCATAGTCACTGTTGTAATTTCAAATGGTCGCTAAACAAATTGTTGTAAGTTGATGACTACCTGTATTATCTTAGCTGCCTTAATACTTGGACCAACCGAGAATTTGCTCCTAAACCATGAACGGGTGTTCTTCCTGGGAAAGAAAACTACAGCTGAAGCCACCTTGAAACAAATGGTCCAATTTGGATGGAAAAACAGGGAAATTTTGAAACTTGCTAAAGTACAACTCCCACAAGGCTCTGCTAGTAAGACGTATGATGAAGGACGCTGGGAATTTTAGTTCATCAATGTATGGAAGGCTGCAGAGACTTCATTTCTGAGTTGAAGCCAAACGAGATAGGCTAAGACAGTGATGGCGAACCTTTTAGAGACCCAGTGCCCAAATTGTAACCCAAAACCCACTTATTTATCACTGGGTGCCAGGTGGGCATGGCTGCGGTGGTCATGGCAGACTAGGTGGGTGGGGCCAGGGTGGTGGGGGCCAGTCCCTCACCATGTCCAGGGCACGGCACGCATGCCCACAGAGAGGTCTCGGAGTGCCGCCTCTGGCACGCGTGCCATAGGTTCGCCATCACTGGGCTAAGAGCCATGGTGGAACAGTGGTTAAAATGCAGTTATGCAAGCTAACTCACTGCTTACTGCCAGGAGTTCGATTCTGAACAGTTCAAGGTTGACTCAGCCTTCCGTCCATCTGAGGTCGGTAAAATGAGGACCCAGATTGTTGCTGATTCTGTAAACCGCTTAGAGAGGGCTGTAAAGCACTATGAAGCAGTATATAAGTCTTAAGTGCTATGGTTATTGCTATACAGGTAGTCCTTGACTTACGACTGGTCATTTAACAACCTCTTGAAGTTACGACAGACATGTTCAAAAAGCTACTTATAACCCGTTGTTGAAGTTATGACTGCTGCTCCTTCTCTCCCCCATGGTTATGTGATCACACTAGCACTTGCAACCAGCTCACATTTATGACTGGCTGTGGCATCCTGTGGACGCATGACTGCAATTTGCTACTTTTTAAATTTATTTATTGAATTTAGGTACCACCCTTCTCACTCTCAGAGTGACTCTATTCTGGCAAAAAAAAAGAGAATAGATTTGCTTAACCACCACGACTCACTTTACAATGGTGGTGACTCACTTTACAACCATCCTAAAAATTATCGTAAAATAAAGTCCGCTCATGCGGTATCTCAGTTTATGATCACAAGGACTTATGACCAAAATTCCAGGCTCTATTGATCTCAGAGATTACCTGTACTGGCTAGGCAGCTATCAGTCCAGGATGCTTTAATTCAGTTCCTGCACCAAGAAGAGTTGGACTCTAAATAGCTCTCTCCAACTCTACGATTCTCTGTTCGAACCTGCAGAGCAAATCAAATCTCCAATGAATTCCTGCCAAAAGGGATTATTTTTAGGAGCCTGTCCAAACTCTGCCTTACAGCTAGAGCTGGCTCTGTGCCTCCAGCAAAAGTTTAGAAGCAGGAGTACACATGATTTTATTTGCAAGTGAAACATTTCCTAATATGGAGAATACAAGGTGACTGGAAAAATCATTGCTCGGTTTTTTTCTTCTTTCTTCTTTCTTCTTTCTTCTTTCTTCTTCTTCTTCTTCTTCTTCTTCTTCTTCTTCTTCTTCTTCTTCT